GTAGGTGACATAAGTGTGCGAACCAATTGCGCTAAAAAGCGCATCTAATGTCTAGCTTAGGCAAAACCTTCAGTTAACATATGGCTAAAATTAAATAATTATAGTACGCGAAAATGTTTTGCAATAAGCACATGGAGCGAATAAATCACAGAACGCAAGACAAACCATCACGCCTGCCGAATTCGAAAAGTGGACCAAGTGACCGTCGACCGGTTCAAACAATGACAGATGTGCACATCTGTCATCGGACACTTAATGTCATCTTATAAGTTACTTTAAAAATGCCCGAATTGATTTTTTGGCATTAAATGGTGCCTAAGATGTCATCAGGAGAGGAATTAAATAGACCGTTAGAAGAGAAATAAAGATCGATTTCATTTAGGTGTGGTTTTGGCCAGTAACCGCACATTGCCGATATTATTTTGGTGATCGTTCAACACTTTTACGGTTTGCTTAAATCACACATTCATCGCGATTCTCATGGATAAGGTTTAATAAATACTACATTACTGAAGAATCCTTTTGTTCGTAGGAAATATCCACAACTTCCCTCGAAATTGTTTATAATATGTCAGGTCAGGCTTATTAAGGGAAATATAGACAAACACCTTTAAGCTCCTATTTTAAAGTAAGCGGTATAATTTTGGTAACTTGGGAAATCCTGAGATTATAGAATCATAGTAGACGTTCCTTGTAATGTTGCGTCCCATCGGGTTCGATAGATATCGGCAGGAGACCGGTGTTTTGCGCGCGCTCGATTAGCATCTCAATGCGAAGCTGAGATCTAGTTGTAAGGCCAGATACCCCTTAGGAAGAATATTACCATCTGGACGAAGAAAAGGACTCAAGATTAAGACATTGGTGTGTTCGAGTTTTAAAACCTATCGCACAATGGGGTCAGTGATGCAAACCATCCATGTTTAAAAAATTATCTTTATGCTCTGAGTTGCACTTATCTCTATCGACAGATGTTATTTTACCAAATTTCCCGATGCAGAGTACCGTTTTTTTTCGAAGATGAGAAATCACACAGACTTTTTCAGAGGGGAGGAAAAAGCGAGCGAAATGTCCGAAGCGCATTTTTGCTCCCGAACAGCGAACCGCTCAGTGGTTTACTTGACACGAGGCAAATCGAAGTTGTCAAGATTCCGCCCATTATTTGCTCAAAAACTTGACAGTTGGACCCAGGCTACCTAACAGGTAAAAGATAGTTTTGCATCAAGTTCATGCAAAAGACTTGCGAATAGAAGGAGCAAAAGAATATTGCATGTTACCTCATGTTTCATCTGAGGTATGAAGTCATCAATAAAATTTATTGGCATGTAGGCTTTATCACAATATATCACGTGGCTCATTAAGCATACATTGTCCGCGAAGATACACAAGACGTCAAAGCTTCGTCCTAAGATCCTAGCCACTAAATTACTTAGGAAATATTTACTTAGGAAATGGAGCCAAACATATTTCCAAGGGACTGACACCCAATGCATTAAGGTGTAGGAGAGTTGCCTAGAATACACTTTTCACAAGAGCGGTTCATTCAATAGGAAAGCATTTGAGGAGAGGAAGTCGGTATCTATTTGACACAGAAGCGGTCCTAGTGGAAATTCCCAGGTCGGGCGTAACACTTATGACCTAGATCACATTGTAAGATACTCGAGTGCAGTCCAACGTTGAGAACCTGAGTACAAAAATAGACCTTTTTCACCTGACACTTTGACCGTTGATTACGACGACGTCCACCATGTGCACCACAACACGGTGGCACAAGGACAGGGGCGTGCACAGTATTTCCCTAATAGTGGTATTAAAATTGCTGCATCTACTGCAATCTCTCCTCCTTCGCGTCGGCCTCCTCCTCCACTACAAAATGGACTTGGCGTCCCGACCAAGTTAAAAAGACCTCAACGAAGTGGGTGCACGTGTCTAGTGCAACAAAAGTCTGCCCCTAAACATGCGCTCACACGGGCTCGGATCTCACAGTGTGGGGAATTGTGAATGAGACCACCTTATAAAGGAAAGATTGCAGCCTAATGCCTAGTCTGCCAATCTGCACACAGGCATCAGGCCTCCCCTCCTCGATTTCATTGCCTCCTACCTGTCTAACCG